GGGACTCCCAAAAAGCCTCCATTGTTGCCTTCCACCGCCGAATATCTCCCGGCCAGTGCTTCGTCGCCGATGGGTCCACGAATAGCGTCGCCTCCCCTTGCGGCAGTGCCGCCGCCTTTTCCGCTAGCCATTTTTTTGTGCCGTTCTCCTCCGCCAGCATCTTCCCCACCATCCTGGCCGCCATGCTGTCTATCTGCGCTTTGGGATCCACCATGCGCGGAGTCTCAGGGACCACCCGCGCAGAGCTGGTCGCAGGGCTTCTCGCGTTCCACGGCGGTGCCGGCGTTGTTGGCGCTTCCCCCTCTGCAGTGCAGGGTTTCGCGCAGGACAAGCCCGAGATTTTTGGCCAGCTAGAGAGCCTCGCCTTGAGCGAGCTGCGCGCGCTCGCTAAGGCGTGGGGAGTGCGCGGCGCGGAGACACCTGCAAGGAGGTCATCAAGCTCCTAACTGGTTCTGACGCACCCAAGGCTGCTGCCGCCGCTTCCTACACCAACAGCAGCGCCGTGGCCTCGTCCTCGTCCTTGTCCTACACCCCGTCCTACTCCGCCCCCGCATCCTCCTCCGTGCCGTCCCTCCCCAGCGCGAGTGTCCTTGCCACGAAGTCGCTGGCGCAGCTGCGCGCGATTGCCGCCCAAAAGGGTATCCGCGGTAACACCAAGCAGGAGCTGGTGAAGGCTCTGACCTCGTAAAAAGGGAATATTTGAGGAAGCGTACGTATGTTATTTGTATGCATTTAGGCCACCACGAATTGTCTCTTTTTTTTTGGGCTCTAGAGCCTTCAACAGTAAAATATTCAACCGCTGATACCATGTCAGAATTCCAGCCACTAGACCACTGGGATAAAAGGGCTTGTTTCGGCGGGTCAGTGCGCCCATAACCCCCCAGGCTAACATGTCTGTAACCCCCCTAGAATCAATCGGGGATCTCACAGTGCAGCTCTACTGACAGTACTGATGCTGAGGGGGGTGGAGGTGTGGGAGCCGCGGGGAGTGGAGCTAGGGGGGTGACGTGGAAGTGGAGCTAGGGTTTCTGCTGTCAGAATATGTTGTTTGTGTAGCCTGCAGTGGGGTACTCAATAGTGAGTACAGCCCCTTAGGGTTTGCTATTTGTATCTTGCTGCTTGCTAGTCAAATATTTCCCTTTCTCAATTCTGTTCCTGCACACAACTCTCGCTCGTACTTGACGCATCGTTCTAGTCTTCCTGTGGCCTAGGCTACTAAGCCTAGGCCCGACTACGTAGTATGTTTGACATGGTATCAGAGGGCGGCATGTCTGCCGCCTTCCTGTGTATGGGCCCACCACCCGCTTCCGCTGCCGTACTGTCCGCCGCGCGCCCCGTGGTGCGTGGCGCCGAAATTAGGGTTTCTGCCCGCCGCGCGCTCGGGACGCGTGGCGGCTTACCCCTCCGTGGCGCCCGTCGTGGCGCCCGTCGTTTCTACTGCTACCGGGGGGCCGCGCGGCCTCCCCTCCCGTCGCCCGTCGTGGCGACCACGGGGGCTCGCGCGCGGTCCCCTCCCGTCGTCCGTCGTGGCGACCTCGGGGGCTCGCGCGGCCTCCCCTCCCGTCGTCCGTCGTGGCGACCACGGGGGCCCGCGCGGCCTCCCCTCCCGTCGTCCGTCGTGGCGACCACGGGGGCCCGCGCGGCCTCCCCTCCCGTCGTCCGTCGTGGCGACCACGGGGGCCCGCGCGGCCTCCCCTCCCGTCGTCCGTCGTGGCGACCAAGGGGGCCCGCGCGCGGTCCCCTCTCGTCGCCCGTCATGGCGACCACGGGGGCCGCGCGGCCTCCCCTTCCCGTCGCCCGTCGTGGCGCTCCGGGGGGGCCCGCGCGGCGCCCTTCCCGTCGCCCGTCGCGGCGGCTCTGGGGGCCCGCGCGGTGCCCTTCCCGTCGCCCGTCGCGGCGGCCCTGGGGGGCCGCGCGGCTCCCTTTCTCGTCGGCCGTCGGGGCGCCCTGGGGGCCGCGCTCTTCCCCCCCCCCCCCCCCTTCCTCCTACCTTCACCTGCAGCGGCCGCCCCTGGAGCCGCCCTTGGAGCAGCCAGCACCTGCAGCAGCCGCCCCTGGAGCAGCCCGTGCCTGCAGCAGCCGCCCCTGGAGCAGCCCGCACCTGCAGCAGCCCGCGGCCGGTCCCTGCAGCCCGTCCCGTCCCCCCCCCCCCCGTGCTGCCCATTGCTCCCATTCCGCCGTGCGTTCCGCGGTGGTGGGGGTGTGGGGTGGCGAGCATGGGGGTGACCGGTGTGGGTAACCTGAAGCTCCTCCTCCTCCTCCGTCTCCCACTGCTGCAGCTGCCGCTGAGGGGGGTGGGTGTGTGGGAGCCGAGGGTGTAGGGTTTATGGGGGGTGATGTGGGAGTGGAGCTAGGGGTGAAACTGGGGGTGTGTGTAGGGGGGTGTGGGACAGTTGGGGGAGGTTGAGTGGAGGCAGCCGTCGTGTCGTCCGCAGCACCTGTAGTCCGGGGCGCTGTCCTGGTAGCCCAGAGAGCCTGCTGCGCCTGTCGCCCGTGGGTCCGTTGCTCCTGTAGCTCCTCGTAGCCCGTGAGCCAGTTACTCCAGTAGTCCGGGGCGCTGTCCCGGTAGCCAATGTGCCAGCAGCTCCTGTTGCCCGTGTGTCTGCAGCTTCAGCCGTCGTCTCCCATCTTCTCTCCTCTCACAGTCCCTCCTCCTCCTCACTTGCCCGCTGTGACTACCACTAGCTTTGCTTATAATTGTGAACTACTGCTATGCTTGCTCATTGTGCTGATTACACCCCACTTTGGCTATGGGGGTGTGTCAGAATATGTTTTTTGTGTAGCCTGCAGTGGGGTACTCAATAGTGAGTACAGCCCCTTAGGGTTTGCTCTTTGTATCTTGCTGCTTGCTAGTCAAATCTTTCCCTTTCTCAATTCTGTTCCTGCACACAACTCTCGCTCGTACTTGACGCATCGTTCTAGTCTTCCTGTGGCCTAGGCTACTAAGCCTAGGCCCGACTACTTAGTATGTTTGACATCTGCAGGGGGTGTGTGAGAGGGGTGTGGGACAGTTGGGGGAGGTTGACAGGAGGTGGCCGTTGTGACGTCTGCAGCGCCAGTAGTCCGGGGGTTGAGTACTCCGGTAGCCCAGCGAGCCTGCTGCTGCCAGTCGCCCGTGGGTCTGTTGCTCCTGCTGCTGCTTAGCGCGGAGCCAGTTACTCCTGTAGTCCGGAGGTTGAGTGCTCCGGTAGCCACCGTGCGCGCCGTTCCTATTGCCCGTGTGACTACGGCTTCACCCGTCGCCTTCTATCTTCACTCCTCTCACAGTCTCTCCTCCTCCTCACTTGCCCTCTGTGACTGCCTCTAGCTTTGCTTATCATTGTGAACTATTGCTCTATGACTGCTTGTTGTGTTGATTGTACCCCACTTTGACTATGGGGGTGTGTCAGAATGTGATGTGTGTGTAGCCTGCAGTGGGGTACTCTGTAGCGAGTACAGCCCGAATTAGGGTTTGCTATATGTACTCTACTACATGCTAGTGAAAACCCCTCTTTCGTGTTTATCATTCCTGCCTATACTTCTGACAAGCGATTCTTACCGGTACCTGTGCCGTGTGGATTTGACCGCAATTACAGGGAATCTCAGATTCCCGAGGTGTAAGCACCCCGTGGCGAGGCCAACCTGTGAAATTCTGCCTCTGGTTCACGTTCAGAGGTGTTTTGTTGGCGCGGCGCCTCACACCATTGGGCCGTTTCGCTGCAGCAGTCAGTCTTGGCCAATCCGAACTTGGCCCCCATGTGGTGCTGGAGGGCTGCCAAGGATCCTGCCCCATTGCCATCACCTGCGACGCGTTAGTGACAGCCTTTTTACTAGTGTAACACTGATGCATCAGGCTTTTTACAAACGCAACACTGTCATTTCAGGCTTTTTTTTTTTTGAACACTGTCAATCAGAGTTTACACACAGGGGGACCAGGGCTAATTTTTGGTTTTTGCCAACCCTTACGATCAGTGTTGCACATGTTCAAAACCCTGATTATCAGTGTGACCCCTTGTGGGAAAACTGATTCATCAGGGTTTCTGCTTAGTTTGAATATTCAACCCTGAGGCATCAGTGTACAATGTTCTCGAACCCTGCTGAAATTGTCATTAACAGAGCACACAATAACAAATTTACAGTTTCGACAGTTGGCAATAGGGAATCCCGGGTTACGGGGTAGGGGGGTTAGGGGAAGGGGGGGGGGGGGGGGGGGGTGGGGGGGGAGGGGGGGAAGGGGGGTGGCGGGGGGTGGCTGGTACTTGCTTCAGGGTAAAACTCGCTAAGAGGATCGGCAACACTGAGGCGACAGTGTGCCTTATTCGTAAACCCTGGCACATCAGGGAAAATCAAGGTCCCAAAAAATAAACCCTACGGCATCAGTGTTACACCCAAAAACCACCCTGATAATCAGGGTATCAGGGTGATTTACCCTGATAAAATAGGGCCTGAGGGGGACCCTGATGGGTTGACGACCCTAAAAGTGAATCTGAGGGCCTGTCCTGAACCACTCGTATTGGTTGATTAGAAGTTTCAACACCATTGGCAACGCAGTGCGGTAACTGCTAAGGACGCAACCTTTGTCGTATATGTAAGGATTTACAATTCCTTACTGTACTCGCACTTTAGCGAGTACAACCCGTTGAGCATGCGTCAGTTCAGTTCGGCCTATTTCGTCGGCCCAAACTACTCCCGAGTCGCCCCCGCTCCAATCACAACCTTTTCCGAGCCTTCCTCGCCCGACCTCCTCGCCTAGCTAGGATTTCCCCCATCACTTTATATTGTATGTCATTCAGTAATTCACAGTCTCGTTCTTCGTTATTCTTGCGCACTCTGTAAGTTTATTCATAACAGTATATATACGAATCAGGTAACAAATCACTTGTACGAGCCTCAGATTAAACTAGAAACCAAATCTGATTTTCGAAAAGCCTTTCAAACCAGCAAAGACTCTGATCACAGGCCGACTAGGAACATGTGGGTGCAACGGGATGCTTCACAAAATTAATAATCGATCCACGGCTCTAGCCAACTGGGTTGCGGCCCTGGTCGATGTCAATGCGCAGCGTGTGGTCGGGACGACTGCCCTCTGGCCCGCGGGCATAGAGCGCGGGCAGATACGCCTTGTACGCCGGGATGTAGCGCGTCACAAAGTCGTGCACCTGGTGGGAGAGTGTGCGGCATGGGGAGTGGCAAGGAGGGGGCAGGCATGAGGCGGGATGCGATGAGGAGCCGGGGAGTGGTGAAATGGAGGGAGACAGGTGAAGGTGGAGCAAGGGGTGTGCGGGTTCACAGCAAGGAGCGTTATGTGCGAGGAGTGGCATGGAGAACGGGTGATGGAGCAAGGCAGGAGAAGAGGGCAGTGCAGAGGAGGGCTTGGGAAGGGGTGGGCACCTGTTCGTCGGTCATGCCGGGCTTGCTGGTGGCCCTCATTGCTACCTCCGCCTGGTGGTGGGGAGGGAGGGTGGACCACATGGGGGGGATGAGGAGACGCATGCAGCACATGTGATAAACATGCAGTGATCCGTGAAAGATGGACAGGACATTTGCCATGCCCTGACACGAGCCATGCTCCATCTCACAGCATGCCATACCTGCAGGCGCCAGTCAAAGACCCAATCAACGTCCGCCACCTGGATGATGACCCACGAGTCCACCATGTCGTGCCACGCGCTGTACTGCTGCAGCCGCCCATTCACCTCGCCCAGCTGCCAGGGGGGGAGGGGAGGGGGGGAGGGGGAGGGAGCGAGGGATTGTGAAGGGTTGCACGAGTGCTGATAGAGCAGCGCAGCACATCCGGTGATGTGCCCTGCACCACAGCACGGCCTGAGGGTAATGGGGCAACGTCCGAGGCAAGCGGCCATGGAAGCATGCACAGCACAGCACAGCACAGCACAGCACAGCATAGCACAGCACAGCACAGCACAGCACAGCACAGCACAGCACAGCACAGCACAGCACAGCACAGCACAGCAGGCACAGCACAGCACAGCACAGCACAGCACAGCACAGCACAGCACAGCACAGCACAGCACAGCACAACACAGCACAGCACAGCACAGCACCGCACAGCACCGCACAGCACAGCACAGCACAGCACAGCACCGCACCGCACAGGGTCGCAAACGTGCTTTCCCCCTTGCACACACCTGAGGGTCGATGGCAGCAGCCTTATGAGCGGGCAGCGCATGGAAGCCGAGCATCCAGCCCTCGAAGAGCACCACGTCCACCGGCCCCTCCACCTCCGGCCACCCCGCCTCTGGGCTGCGATCACCCCGCCCGGAGAAGGCCGACTGAAGGGTGGGGAGGGGGGATGGCAGGGGGTTGAGGGAATTGAGATGGCAGGCAGGGTGCTTGGGCCGGGAAAAAGTGGAGAGGAGCATCACATGGTGGGAGGAGCATCACATGGTGGGAGGGCATCTCATGGTGGGAGGGGCATCACATGGTGGGAGGGGCATCACATGGTGGGAGGGGCATCACATGGTGGGAGGGGCATCACATGGTGGGAGGGCATCACATGGTGGGAGGGGCATCACATGGTGGGAGGGGCATCTCATGGTGGGAGGGGCATCACATGGTGGGAGGGCATCACATGGTGGGAGGGGCATCACATGGTGGGAGGGCATCTCATGGTGGGAGGGGCATCACATGGTAGGAGGGGCATCACATGGTGGGAGGGGCATCACATGGTGGGAGGGGCATCACATGGTGGGAGGGGCATCACATGGTGGGAGGGGCATCACATGGTGGGAGGGGCATCACATGGTGGGAGGGGCATCACATGGTGGGAGGGGCATCACATGGTGGGAGGGGCATCACATGGTGGGAGGGGCATCACATGGTGGGAGGGGCATCACATGGTGGGAGGGGCATCACATGGTGGGAGGGGCATCACATGGTGGTAGGGGCATCACATGGTGGGAGGGGAATCACATGGTGGGAGGGCATCACATGGTGGGAGGGGCATCACATGGTGGGAGGGGCATCACATGGTGGGAGGGGCATCACATGGTGGGAGGGGCATCACATAGTGGGAGGGGCATCACATGGTGGGAGGGGCATCACATGGTGGGAGGGGCATCACATGGTGGGAGGGGCATCACATGGTGGGAGGGCATCACATGGTGGGAGGGGCATCACATGGTGGGAGGGCATCACATGGTGGGAGGGGCATCACATGGTGGGAGGGCATCACATGGTGGGAGGGGCATCACATGGTGGGAGGGCATCACATGGTGGGAGGGGCATCACATGGTGGTAGGGGCATCACATGGTGGGAGGGGCATCACATGGTGGGAGGGGCATCACATGGTGGGAGGGGCATCACATGGTGGGAGGGGCATCACATGGTGGGAGGGGCATCACATGGTGGGAGGGGCATCACATGGTGGGAGGGGCATCACATGGTGGGAGGGCATCACATGGTGGGAGGGGCATCACATGGTGGGAGGGGCATCACATGGTGGGAGGGCATCACATGGTGGGAGGGGCATCACATGGTGGGAGGGGCATCACATGGTGGGAGGGGCATCACATGGTGGGAGGGGCATCACATGGTGGGAGGGCATCACATGGTGGGAGGGGCATCACATGGTGGGAGGGCATCACATGGTGGGAGGGGCATCACATGGTGGTAGGGGCATCACATGGTGGGAGGGGCATCACATGGTGGGAGGGCATCACATGGTGGGAGGGGCATCACATGGTGGGAGGGCATCACATGGTGGGAGGGGCATCACATGGTGGTAGGGGCATCACATGGTGGGAGGGGCATCACATGGTGGGAGGGCATCACATGGTGGGAGGGGCATCACATGGTGGGAGGGCATCACATGGTGGGAGGGGCATCACATGGTGGTAGGGGCATCACATGGTGGGAGGGGCATCACATGGTGGGAGGGGCATCACATGGTGGGAGGGCATCACATGGTGGGAGGGGCATCACATGGTGGGAGGGGCATCACATGGTGGGAGGGCATCACATGGTGGGAGGGGCATCACATGGTGGGAGGGGCATCACATGGTGGGAGGGGCATCACATGGTGGGAGGGCATCACATGGTGGGAGGGGCATCACATGGTGGGAGGGGCATCACATGGTGGGAGGGCATCACATGGTGGGAGGGGCATCACATGGTGGGAGGGGCATCACATGGTGGGAGGGGCATCACATGGTGGGAGGGGCATCACATGGTGGGAGGGCATCACATGGTGGGAGGGGCATCACATGGTGGGAGGGCATCACATGGTGGGAGGGGCATCACATGGTGGTAGGGGCATCACATGGTGGGAGGGCATCTCATGGTGGGAGGGGCATCACATGGTGGGAGGGCATCTCATGGTGGGAGGGGCATCACATGGTGGGAGGGGCATCACATGGTGGGAGGGCATCTCATGGTGGGAGGGGCATCACATGGTGGGAGGGGCATCACATGGTGGGAGGGCATCACATGGTGGGAGGGGCATCACATGGTGGGAGGGGCATCACATGGTGGGAGGGGCATCACATGGTGGGAGGGCATCACATGGTGGGAGGGGCATCACATGGTGGGAGGGGCATCACATGGTGGGAGGGCATCACATGGTGGGAGGGGCATCACATGGTGGGAGGGGCATCACATGGTGGGAGGGGCATCACATGGTGGGAGGGGCATCACATGGTGGGAGGGCATCACATGGTGGGAGGGGCATCACATGGTGGGAGGGCATCACATGGTGGGAGGGGCATCACATGGTGGTAGGGGCATCACATGGTGGGAGGGCATCTCATGGTGGGAGGGGCATCACATGGTGGGAGGGCATCTCATGGTGGGAGGGGCATCACATGGTGGGAGGGGCATCACATGGTGGGAGGGCATCTCATGGTGGGAGGGGCATCACATGGTGGGAGGGCATCACATGGTGGGAGGGGCATCACATGGTGGGAGGGGCATCACATGGTGGGAGGGGCATCACATGGTGGGAGGGGCATCACATTGTGGGAGGGGCATCACATGGTGGGAGGGGCATCACATAGTGGGAGGGGCATCACATGGTGGGAGGGCATCACATGGTGGGAGGGGCATCACATGGTGGGAGGGCATCACATGGTGGGAGGGGCATCACATGGTGGTAGGGGCATCACATGGTGGGAGGGGCATCACATGGTGGGAGGGGCATCACATGGTGGGAGGGGCATCACATGGTGGGAGGGGCATCACATGGTGGGAGGGGCATCACATGGTGGGAGGGCATCACATGGTGGGAGGGGCATCACATGGTGGGAGGGCATCACATGGTGGAGGGGCATCACATGGTGGGAGGGCATCACATGGTGGGAGGGGCATCACATGGTGGGAGGGCATCACATGGTGGGAGGGGCATCACATGGTGGGAGGGCATCTCATGGTGGGAGGGCATCTCATGGTGGGAGGGGCATCACATGGTGGGAGGGGCATCACATGGTGCGAGGGCATCACATGGTGGGAGGGGCATCACATGGTGGGAGGGCATCTCATGGTGGGAGGGGCATCACAGTGCGGCGAGGCTCACCTTGTCGTAGCGTGGAAGAGGGACCTTGGTGCCTGGTGGGCATGCATGGGGGGCGCATGGGGGAGACACGGGAATGGGATGCATGGGCGGGCGGGCATGTGCATGGCACGGGTGTGGGCTCAAGCTGGATGCATTGACGTCAGAGCAAGCTGCACAAAGAATGCCCTGTGTAGTCAAGGTATGCACTAAGCAGGTGCATCACCACGTGCATCACCACGTGCCTCACCACGTGCATCACCACGTGCCTCACCACGTGCCTCACCACGTGCATCACCACGTGCATCACCACGTGCATCACCACGTGCCTCACCAGGTGCTGTGGCCTTCTTGAGTGCTGAGAGCGTGGAGACGCCCATAGCGAGGTCGTGTGAGCCGGCGTTGCCCCTCAGCTGGGGCAAGCGGACATGGACGATGTGGGTGCATGCGGGGCAAGCGGACATGGACGATGTGGGTGCATGCGGGGCAAGCGGACATGGACGATGTGGGTGCATGCGGGGCAAGCGGACATGGACGATGTGGGTGCATGCGGGGCAAGCGGACATGGACGATGTGGGTGCATGCGGGGCAAGCGGACATGGACGATGTGGGTGCATGCGGGGCAAGCGGACATGGACGATGTGGGTGCATGCGGGGCAAGCGGACATGGACGATGTGGGTGCATGCGGGGCAAGCGGACATGGACGATGTGGGTGCATGCGGGGCAAGCGGACATGGACGATGTGGGTGCATGCGGGGCAAGCGGACATGGACGATGTGGGTGCATGCGGGGCAAGCGGACATGGACGATGTGGGTGCATGCGGGGCAAGCGGACATGGACGATGTGGGTGCATGCGGGGCAAGCGGACATGGACGATGTGGGTGCATGCGGGGCAAGCGGACATGGACGATGTGGGTGCATGCGGGGCAAGCGGACATGGACGATGTGGGTGCATGCGGGGCAAGCGGACATGGACGATGTGGGTGCATGCGGGGCAAGCGGACATGGACGATGTGGGTGCATGCGGGGCAAGCGGACATGGACGATGTGGGTGCATGCGGGGCAAGCGGACATGGACGATGTGGGTGCATGCGGGGCAAGCGGACATGGACGATGTGGGTGCATGCGGGGCAAGCGGACATGGACGATGTGGGTGCATGCGGGGCAAGCGGACATGGACGATGTGGGTGCATGCGGGGCAAGCGGACATGGACGATGTGGGTGCATGCGGGGCAAGCGGACATGGACGATGTGGGTGCATGCGGGGCAAGCGGACATGGACGATGTGGGTGCATGCGGGGCAAGCGGACATGGACGATGTGGGTGCATGCGGGGCAAGCGGACATGGACGATGTGGGTGCATGCGGGGCAAGCGGACATGGACGATGTGGGTGCATGCGGGGCAAGCGGACATGGACGATGTGGGTGCATGCGGGGCAAGCGGACATGGACGATGTGGGTGCATGCGGGGCAAGCGGACATGGACGATGTGGGTGCATGCGGGGCAAGCGGACATGGACGATGTGGGTGCATGCGGGGCAAGCGGACATGGACGATGTGGGTGCATGCGGGGCAAGCGGACATGGACGATGTGGGTGCATGCGGGGCAAGCGGACATGGACGATGTGGGTGCATGCGGGGCAAGCGGACATGGACGATGTGGGTGCATGCGGGGCAAGCGGACATGGACGATGTGGGTGCATGCGGGGCAAGCGGACATGGACGATGTGGGTGCATGCGGGGCAAGCGGACATGGACGATGTGGGTGCATGCGGGGCAAGCGGACATGGACGATGTGGGTGCATGCGGGGCAAGCGGACATGGACGATGTGGGTGCATGCGGGGCAAGCGGACATGGACGATGTGGGTGCATGCGGGGCAAGCGGACATGGACGATGTGGGTGCATGCGGGGCAAGCGGACATGGACGATGTGGGTGCATGCGGGGCAAGCGGACATGGACGATGTGGGTGCATGCGGGGCAAGCGGACATGGACGATGTGGGTGCATGCGGGGCAAGCGGACATGGACGATGTGGGTGCATGCGGGGCAAGCGGACATGGACGATGTGGGTGCATGCGGGGCAAGCGGACATGGACGATGTGGGTGCATGCGGGGCAAGCGGACATGGACGATGTGGGTGCATGCGGGGCAAGCGGACATGGACGATGTGGGTGCATGCGGGGCAAGCGGACATGGACGATGTGGGTGCATGCGGGGCAAGCGGACATGGACGATGTGGGTGCATGCGGGGCAAGCGGACATGGACGATGTGGGTGCATGCGGGGCAAGCGGACATGGACGATGTGGGTGCATGCGGGGCAAGCGGACATGGACGATGTGGGTGCATGCGGGGCAAGCGGACATGGACGATGTGGGTGCATGCGGGGCAAGCGGACATGGACGATGTGGGTGCATGCGGGGCAAGCGGACATGGACGATGTGGGTGCATGCGGGGCAAGCGGACATGGACGATGTGGGTGCATGCGGGGCAAGCGGACATGGACGATGTGGGTGCATGCGGGGCAAGCGGACATGGACGATGTGGGTGCATGCGGGGCAAGCGGACATGGACGATGTGGGTGCATGCGGGGCAAGCGGACATGGACGATGTGGGTGCATGCGGGGCAAGCGGACATGGACGATGTGGGTGCATGCGGGGCAAGCGGACATGGACGATGTGGGTGCATGCGGGGCAAGCGGACATGGACGATGTGGGTGCATGCGGGGCAAGCGGACATGGACGATGTGGGTGCATGCGGGGCAAGCGGACATGGACGATGTGGGTGCATGCGGGGCAAGCGGACATGGACGATGTGGGTGCATGCGGGGCAAGCGGACATGGACGATGTGGGTGCATGCGGGGCAAGCGGACATGGACGATGTGGGTGCATGCGGGGCAAGCGGACATGGACGATGTGGGTGCATGCGGGGCAAGCGGACATGGACGATGTGGGTGCATGCGGGGCAAGCGGACATGGACGATGTGGGTGCATGCGGGGCAAGCGGACATGGACGATGTGGGTGCATGCGGGGCAAGCGGACATGGACGATGTGGGTGCATGCGGGGCAAGCGGACATGGACGATGTGGGTGCATGCGGGGCAAGCGGACATGGACGATGTGGGTGCATGCGGGGCAAGCGGACATGGACGATGTGGGTGCATGCGGGGCAAGCGGACATGGACGATGTGGGTGCATGCGGGGCAAGCGGACATGGACGATGTGGGTGCATGCGGGGCAAGCGGACATGGACGATGTGGGTGCATGCGGGGCAAGCGGACATGGACGATGTGGGTGCATGCGGGGCAAGCGGACATGGACGATGTGGGTGCATGCGGGGCAAGCGGACATGGACGATGTGGGTGCATGCGGGGCAAGCGGACATGGACGATGTGGGTGCATGCGGGGCAAGCGGACATGGACGATGTGGGTGCATGCGGGGCAAGCGGACATGGACGATGTGGGTGCATGCGGGGCAAGCGGACATGGACGATGTGGGTGCATGCGGGGCAAGCGGACATGGACGATGTGGGTGCATGCGGGGCAAGCGGACATGGACGATGTGGGTGCATGCGGGGCAAGCGGACATGGACGATGTGGGTGCATGCGGGGCAAGCGGACATGGACGATGTGGGTGCATGCGGGGCAAGCGGACATGGACGATGTGGGTGCATGCGGGGCAAGCGGACATGGACGATGTGGGTGCATGCGGGGCAAGCGGACATGGACGATGTGGGTGCATGCGGGGCAAGCGGACATGGACGATGTGGGTGCATGCGGGGCAAGCGGACATGGACGATGTGGGTGCATGCGGGGCAAGCGGACATGGACGATGTGGGTGCATGCGGGGCAAGCGGACATGGACGATGTGGGTGCATGCGGGGCAAGCGGACATGGACGATGTGGGTGCATGCGGGGCAAGCGGACATGGACGATGTGGGTGCATGCGGGGCAAGCGGACATGGACGATGTGGGTGCATGCGGGGCAAGCGGACATGGACGATGTGGGTGCATGCGGGGCAAGCGGACATGGACGATGTGGGTGCATGCGGGGCAAGCGGACATGGTCGATGTGGGTGCATGCGGGGCAAGCGGACATGGTCGATGTGGGTGCATGTGGGGCGAGGCCGAAAGCGTTGGCGCATGCCACGGCACATGGCGTGATGGACAGAGAGGGGGTTGAGAGAAGGGGGTTGGAAAGACAAGAAGGTGCAGGAAGAGGAGGAGAAGGAAGGAGTACACTGCAAGCGAGAACGACAGAGTGAAGTGTGGGGCTTAGAAGTGTAGAGTGCGAGGAGAGGTAGGGCAACGAGCAGGGAAAGAAAGGGAGGATGACGACATTGTTGAAGGGCGGGAGGGGGAGGCAGAGAAGGAGTGCAATGTAGACATGGGAGAGAGAGAGGCAAGCGGTGGAGCGGGGGTGGGCAGGCGAGGGTGCGTGGGGCACCTCGAGCAGGCGGTTGCCGGGATGAGCCTCGCGCAGCGCAGCCTGGTGGGGCGGGGGAGGGTGCGCGAGGGGGTTGGGGGGATGAGCACATTCGCTTTGGTGCGGGAAGGAATGGATGATTGGTGCCGCATTCTGCATGCATGTTGGCCCGAGGGGAATGCCTCGTGAGGGGCACATGGAGAGGCATGAGCGGCATGCGTCGTGTCAAGCAGAGGGCGGAGTGATGTGAGCTTTGAAATTAGAAGGCGTGCGAGCAGTGGAAGAGGGGGCGGGCGCGGGTGGAAGGTGCACCTGGTGCTGTGCGGTGAGGTAGAAGTCGTCGATTGACACCGTGGCTGCCGTGCTGCCCTCCCCCGTGGCCGTGCCGTGCCGTGAGGGGCGTGAGGACAGCGAGGACGATGCGAGGCAGCATGTGAGGCAAAGCGTCCACGGAGAGGAGAACACAAATGAGCAGTGCGGCAGCGGCACGGAATGGAGAGAGCGAGCAAGTGCAGCAAAAAGCATGTGAATGTGTACAGGCAGCATGGCATGGCGTGACATGGCATGGCATGGCACGGCATGGCATGGCACTGCACGGAACAGCACAGCCCGGCATGCATGGCAAGGAATGGCATGGCATGGCAGGGAATGTCATCATATGGTAACGAATGGAATGTCATTGCAAGGAATTCAAGGAATGGCATGGCGTGGCATGGCAAGGAACGGCATGGCACGGCACGACACGGCACGACACGGCACGGCATGGCATGGCAAGGAATGGCATGGCACGGCACGACACGGCACGACACGGCACGGCATGGCATGGCATGGCATGGCATGGCATGGCATGGCATGGCATGGCATGGCATGGGGCATGGCAGGGAGCAGTGCAGGTGGCACGGACCAGTGGGTGACGGCGAAGAGGTGCTCCAGCGACTCCACCACCGTTGTCTTGCCACAGCCCTGGGGCGCGCTGATGCCCATCTGATGCCACGCATGGGGGCAATGGGAGGCATGGCAGGAATGAGGGGCATGGGGGAAAGGGGCCTTGGAAGACAGACACACAGCCTCACACACGCACCCAGACTCCCACGGCACCTTCAGATTCAGTCATCTCCCTAACCGAGGAGGAGTGAACTTCAAACACATGCTTCCCCCTTCCGCCTTTCGCCTTCTCTCCCTCGTCCCCACTCCCTTCACGTCCCACTCTCCCCTGTGCTGCGCTCACTGCCCTCCCGTGTGCTGCGCTCACTGCTCTCCGTTCCGACCTGTGCAGCCAGCCATCATCTCCCCGCCTCGCCCCTCACGCCCACCCACCCACCACGAGCGGAGGCGCCTGAGTGGGTGCGGCCTTGCTGCCCTGTGCCTGCTGTCGGTGCAGCTGCAGCTGGCGCCAGCACCACGAGAACACCGGCAGGTAGTACTGGAAGATGCGCCGCAGCTGCGCCTCCTCCAGTTGCGCCCCCCCCTCCCCCTGCGCCCCCAGGAACCCCAGCTGGTGCGCCAGCTCGCCGCCCAGCGCGCCCCACGCGGCGGCGTCGCGCTGCACGTCCGCCTGCGTGAGCCCCACGCGTTGCAGCAGCGGACTGCGCGCCACGAACGCGGGGAGGTCTTTAAGGGGGATGACGTGTGGAGGCGCGGGGTGGGTGGGTGGGAGCGAGGGCAGGGAGGGCAGGGAAGGGGAGGGGACGGCGGAGGGGGAGGAGGCGGCAGCGTCTTTGAGGCTGCGGACGGCGTGGCGGCGGCGCGAGGCGGAGGGGCGGCGGGGGCAGCGCGAGAGGGGGGAGAGGGAGACGCGTTGGGGTGGGCCGGCGAGTGGGCGAGCATTGGGTTGATTCTGGCGAGGGGAGCAGGGAGGGCAGATGGAGGGCAGACAGGAGGGCAGATGGAGGGATTCGAGTCCTGCCACATTCAGATCGCCCGCTGCACGCGACTGACGATTCGCCCGGTGATTATCCCGCGCGCCTTACCGACATCACATGCATTCTACTTGAGCGCTTCCTCTGTGCCCGTTCCCACCCTCATTACGCGTCTGCTGTGTTCTTTCCGGGCCTTTAGAATGCCAGCACGCCCGCACCAACGGGAAGACCGCGGCCGCCGCGACGCGCGTGGTGTGTGCCACACGTACCGCGAGAGAACGCGAGGCGGAGCCGTTGGAGGTCGCCACGTGGCCCGACGACAGACATCTCGCGACGGTCGTCGGCAAAGAGCGTGGCGACGCAGTGTTCGACACAGCGTGCGATGCCGGGCTGCTGCGAGGCGTCTGCGACACAGCGAGCGACGAGGCGAGGGCCTCCATGCCTCGCGAGTTCCGCGCGCCGCCGCGTGCTAAGACAGCCCTCAATAGTCAGACGATCCGAAGCTCAGAAGCTTACTAGCGGAGCAAAGGACGAGGAGAAGCACGACGAGAAAACAAGCGGTAGTAAGTGCAAATGTGCCTCCGCGATGCCCCGTTGCCACCGCTGCTCGCTTGCTATCGCTTTGGAAGCTGGGCTGGTTGCAACCTGGCCTCGAAGCGCGCTCAGGAAGAAACTCGAGAATCGTTCGCGAGCGAGGATGAAGTGCGATCGGTTTCAGATCAGATCGAGGTGAATGCACGTGACGTGGCGTCGCCTACTGGGTCTCTCTCAAAGGCTGATAGGGTGCCACCTGGCATGGGATCACCCGGTCGTTTCATCTAAAGAGTGAAGTGAACATCTCGCCCAAAGAGGTCCCCGTTAGCGCAGGGAGGCGTCTCTTGCTCTCATGTTTGTTCTGAACATTAATTACTATACAAGCTTGGAACATAAACACATATACACCCTATTCTCGATAATTGCACACCCCCTACCCCCTATTTCGAAGGTACCCTGTACGTTTTCTGGCTCGATGTGACGGACACCCAAAGATTGACGAGGGTAGTTATCGAGCCTCGCACTTAATTTTCCGAGTGAGTAGTAGGGGTGCATGGCTGCCCTTGGAACTCTGGTTTCTTTTCTTCCATTCGCGAGCAGGTTGCGAGGTCCCTCCTCCGAAAGTCTACAATCGTTGCTTGCTACCCAACTTTAACGTTTAACCAAGAGTAATTACCCCAGAGTGTGCGCTTAAGGGGTGTGAAATTATCGAGAATAGGGTGTACTCTGTTTGGAAGGTATGTTTCTTTAGGGAACCTCGTCACCCAAATAGGTCCCCGCGCATGAGGTGTCCATTTCGTAGCGCTTATTTTCCTCCACCTTTGTAAACCTTGAACGAACAGTATAGAAGCAGCTCATCTTTTCGTGCCTCTTCACCACGGGTACTCATCACCAATTAGCACGAGCGCGAATCCCGGCGAGATCCCGATCACCGCGACGACGACTCGCCGACGCGGCGACGACTCACGTTGGATCCGCGCGCAGCTGCGCCTTTCTTTCTCCGCTCGCGCGTGCGGGTCGCAGCGATGGCGGATCCGGGCTCGTGCGAGGCGAGTTTGAAGGATCGCGGCAACGCGGAGTTTAAGGCGAAGAACTTTCTCAAGGCGGCGGCGCTGTACACGCAGGCCATCAAGGACGCGCCCGACAGCCACGCGCTCTACAGGTAACCGCGCCGCGCGCATTTCCTTTCTATTTCCGCGTTTTTGTTATTCTGTGTTGGCGCGGCGGCCGTGGCTGACTGCACGTGCGGCGCGCAGCAATCGGTCGGCGGCGTTCCTGCAGCTGTCGAAGCTCACCAAGGCGCTGGCGGACGCGGAGGCCGCCATCCGCCTCAACCCCGCGTGGGAGAAGGTGAGCACAGCGCCGCTCCAAGGGGTTCACGGGGTTTCGCGTCCGCTTCTGGCGCCGGGAATTGAGACTCACTCATGCACATCCTCTCGTGACTTGCGATGTGCGTGTGGCGTGGTGGTGTGGGGAGTGTGGCGTGTGTCTGGTGCGTCGCAGGGCTACTACCGCAAGGGCTGTGCGCTGGAGGCAATGAAGCGCTACGACGAGGTGAGCCGCCCTCGCCTGCCCTCGCCTGCCCTCGCCTGCCCTCGCCTGCCCCCACCTGCCCTCACTTGTTCAATTTCGAGTTTCTAAGTTGGGTGCCGCAGGGTTGACGAGTATGTGGTGGCATGCTGCCGTGCTGTGCTGCTGCCTTGCTGCGCGGTGGCAGGCATTGGAGGCGTTCAGGGAGGCGGCGGAGAGGAGCCCCGGCAGTGCGGAGACGGCGGGCAAGCTGCGCCTGCTCTCCAAGCTGGCCCGCGACCACAAGCGCTCGCACCCCTCCTCGTGACCCCCGCCCTCCGTGCCGCCATGGCACGCCCTGTGTAGGTAAGTCCAACGCAGGTGAGTCCAACGCAGGTGAGTCCAACGCAGGTGAGTCCAACGCAGGTGAGTCCAACGCAGGTGAGTCCAACGCAGGTGAGTCCAACGCAGGTGAGTCCAACGCAGGTGAGTCCAACGCAGGTGAGTCCAACGCATGTGAGTCCATCGCAGGTGAGTCCAACGCAGGTGAGTCCAAGGTTGGCAAGTCACCTGCTGCAGAACCACCCTCCTTGTCTCGACCCCCCCCCTCACTCGTCCTGCCTTTCTCACCCTTCTCCTGCTCGCCGTCGTTCCGTCATTTTCCATTCCCCCCTACTTGTTCGTCCACTCCTTCCCCACCCTGTCCTCGTCTCACTCGCCCTCCCCTCCTCCCCTTGTCTCGCCCCCTATCGGCCTCGCCCCCTATTGGCCTCGCCCCCTATCGGCCTCGCCCCCTATCGGCCTCGCCCCTCGGTGCTCATCTCCGTGCCTCACTTTGCAACCCCCCGTTCCTCGCCTGCCTCGCTCATCATCTGCCCACGCTGTGCCGTGAACCACTCTTCGCCCCTCTAGAACCCCTCGCTTCTACCTTGCAGCGACCCTATTCGTGTGTGCATGTCAATGCGACCCTATTCATTTAATCAGCACTCATCGCATGCACCCCCCCTCCGCCGCTCAGCCCTTTATCCCTCACGACCCTGCACTCTCTCGCTCCCTCGCTTTGCTCCCACCCGTTCATTCCCATGCCTCTCTCATGATTCTCTCACCATGCCTCTGCCACCCCCTCCCTTCCCTCTCTCCCACTGACCTCACTTCCACCTTCATCAATCTCTTCTCTGTATGCGCCCTTCCCCTCTCCTTCACTTCCCCCTCATCCTCCACGCTCTCCTCTCTCATCTCACCAACCCCTGCCTCCCTTGTCGCCCGAATGGACCGTCTCTTCATGCACCCTTCTCTGCCCGTGACTCCTTGCCTTCTCCCCCCCTCCCCTCCTCCCCTCCTAGTGTAAAGGCCCGAAGATTACATCCTAACACAACTTCATAGCACGGGAAGGAGCGTCTTGAACGAGGTGGTGCTATGCAAGAGACTTCAAAGCGTCACACCTCCCCGCCCGCCCGCTCTGGCTTTGCCGGCCGGAGGCCACAGCGCACCCCATTCATGCATTCTAGCTCCCCACACCTCAAGGGTCAGAAGCATCTGAAACTCACCGACAGTTCGGTTCAGGACGTTATTGGAAAGACATGCTTCTGCAAGGGCTTCTGTGCATGCTGCTTAGCAGTACACGGGGGAACGGACGGACGCAGTTCAAGGACGGTGCACGATGCAAACATCACCGTCAGGCCTAATTGAGGCCCTGTCTTCCTGTAGTTTCCCAAGTGTATGTTTTTCAAGCGCGTAGGGGTTAGTGTTGAGAGCAGGCCCTATTTTATCAGGGTAAATCACCCTGATATCCTGATTATCAGGGTGGTTTTTGGGTGTAACACTGATGCTGTAGGGTATTTTTTTTGGGACCTTGATTTTCCCTGATGTGCCAGGGTTTACGAATAAGGCACACTGTCGCCTCAGTGCTGCCGATCCTCTTAGCGAGTTTTACCCTGAAGCAAGTACCAGCCACCCCCCGCCACCCCCCTTCCCCCCCTCCCCCCCCCCCCCCCCCCCTTCCCCTAACCCCCCTACCCCGTAACCCGGGATTCCCTATTGCCAACTGTCGAAACTGTAAATTTGTTATTGTGTGCTCTGTTAATGACAATTTCAGCAGGGTTCGAGAACATTGTACACTGATGCCTCAGGGTTGAATATTCAAACTAAGCAGAAACCCTGATGAATCAGTTTTCCCACAAGGGGTCACACTGATAATCAGGGTTTTGAACATGTGCAACACTGATCGTAAGGGTTGGCAAAAACCAAAAATTAGCCCTGGTTGAGAGTTGAGCACTGCTATTATCGAGTATATTATAGATACTGTGTTACAACAGAAAGATGTATGCGCTGGAAGAGTACACCCTAATCTATTGGTATGCTTTGCATCTGTTGGGCTGAGGAAGGCCCTTAGGATCTTGTAGAGACTGCCTTGGCTGGCAGCGCCCAGCACTGCAGCAGCGCCGCTGTGTCACCCCGTGTCAAACTTCATGGGGTGAATCATTGAGCCGGGCCCGCTTGAGGTTGTAGGCTGTAGCCGCCACTGGCTCAAGGGAGGGATTAGGATGGGTGAATAGAAGAGGGGTACTATTCGATAAGGCGGCTGGACGAATAGATACCACGTGGAAAGGGGATGGGTGAATAGAGGGGAAATGGGTGAATAGAGGGGAAATGGGTGACTACAAGGAGGTTGTAGCCGCCACTGATAGGTGCGATGGAAGCAGGGCTAATTTTTGGTTTTTGCCAACCCTTACGATCAGTGTTGCACATGTTCAAAACCCTGATTATCAGTGTGACCCCTTGTGGGAAAACTGATTCATCAGGGTTTCTGCTTAGTTTGAATATTCAACCCTGAGGCATCAGTGTACAATGTTCTCGAACCCTGCTGAAATTGTCATTAACAGAGCACACAATAACAAATTTACAGTTTCGACAGTTAGCAATAGGGAATCCCGGGTTACGGGGTAGGGGGGTTAGGGGAAGGGGGGGGGGGGGGCGGGAGGGGGGGAAGGGGGGTGGCGGGGGGTGGCTGGTACTCGCTTCAGGGTAAAACTCGCTAAGAGGATCGGCAACACCGAGGCGACAGTGTGCCTTATTCGTAAACCCTGGCACATCAGGGAAAATCAAGGTCCCAAAAAAAATACCCTACGGCATCAGTGTTACACCCAAAAACCACCCTGATAATCAGGGTATCAGGGTGATTTACCCTGATAAAATAGGGCCTGGATGGAAGGTGACACGAAGGGAAGGGGGGAAGGGCGGGGAAGAATGAAGGGACTGGAATGAGCGGGGAGGGGGGATGAGGAGCCACGAGGAGCCATGCGAAGGCAGGCGAACACCCATGCATACCTGTGGAAGGTGTGCCCCTTGCCAATCAGCGCCAGCTTCTTCAGCGCCTTCTCCTCCTCCACTTCCCCAGCACGAGCAGTTCCAGCAGCAGGCGGCGTGTAGGTGACGTGGATGAACTTGGGCGGGCTGTCTGCCGCAGACTGGGCCCCCAGAGGGGTCAGCCAGACGCGCCTGAGTCAAGTGTGAAGGTGTGCAAGTCCTCAGCAGAAGCAATACCTGCGGCAGCAGACTCACAAGCACCTAGAGCAGCAGCCTTTGCACCAGTAGCGCGCGGCACACGAGTAACAGTCACCCTCAACACTAACAGAACCAGCATACATAGCATAGATTCCAGCATTGATCTTGTCAAAGTCAAGAGCAAACACATCCACCCCCTTCCCTAGCAACGCTAACCAGTTGAGGATATCCTGCTCATCTCCGTACTCGGTGCGCCAGGCATCCTCGAGACGGCAGAAGCAACGATACTCAGTGTGTCCAGTCTTCCCACAGGGCTCACCAGTCTTGGGACCCGAGCGCCTGATGTACGGGCAACAAACATTAGCCCCAGTGGAGCCATGCTGGACCACCCACTCACGAAGCTCCTGAGGGGTGCATGGCTCCTGCTGGCGTGGCTGTTGCTGCTGTCCACCCCCAGTGCCTCCGCCGCCACGAGCTACACCACCAGTCGCCGCCCCATAGCCTCCGCCCCTGCCAGCTCCACCCCGACCGCCAGCCGAGCCCCCTCCGCCCACTCCACCGCCTCCACCACCCCGGCCACCTCCACTGCCGCCACCACCGCCTCCACCCCCGCCACCACCACCGCCACCACCCCCGCCACCACCACCGCCTGCCAACGCCGCTCACCTTCGATCTTCACTTCCATTGGTTCACGTCGAAGTGTTTGTCGCAGGGACATCCCAACCTCTCTATACCCGGTAACCCGAAAGACAAGGAATTCAAGTTTTAAAATCTTGAGGCGCGCGGCTTTCAAGCTTGTGCTGTTGGGGGGATTCACTAACATTCACGAAATTGCGAAGCTTTTGTACACCCCACATATCGATCGCTCACAGGATCGATGTGTGAAATGTGACACGTCCTCACCACATCCCTCCGGGAATTACACAAGCGCTTGAGTACGATGTTTTGCAATCTGGAGCGCTTTTCTCATTCCACCACTTTAAACCACTCTGTTCACCACGCACAAATTAACTTTGTGACCCCCGCGTGTCTTCCATTGCTTTTCGAGCATGGAAACACGTTTCCCCAATCACAAGGCATTTCTTAGTTGTGATAAGAGCTGATTCACGGGAGAGGCGGTCTAGTCGAGAGCTAATCTAGCTACATAGGTCAATTCTTCCGATTTGCACCTCGATGAGATGGGATCTTACAATAATTGTTTTTAGTGACTGAAACCTTAAATTACGGAGTGTACTTTTGTCAGAATCTAGTAGCAGGAATGATTGAACTATGAAAGAGTTGGGTACAAGTATGAAACCCTAAAAGGGGCTGTACCCCATATTGGCTACCCCACTACAGCCTACACATATATAACAAGAATATGCTTTGACACACCCCCATAGGCAAAGTGGGGGAGAGCAAGGGGTCACAAGACCAGTCAAGAGAAGCAAAGCAAGCTCAGGGTGGATCACAACGTCACCACACACACTGAGCACAAGCAAAGGGCCACAAGGCCAGTTCACATGCAGGGGTATCTATGCAACAACAACAGCACAGTGATCTCTACCTAGCAGAGCAAGCATGCAGGTATATATAGATCACAGTACAAGCAAAGTCTACAGCAAGTGAGGAAACGTGGGCACAAGGCCTAACAGTGTGCAGAAACGCTGATGATCACCAGACGGAAGCGCCTTGGTGAATATATCAGCAGTGTTGGCCCGAGTGGCCATGTATGAAAGACGAAGCTGACCACGCTGCTGCAACTCTCGAGCCAGGAAGTAACACAGAGCAATGTGCTTCGTTCTGTGCTCCAGTCTGTGCTCTTGACACAAGGCAATGGCGGCCTTGTTGTCGACGTACAGCACTGGAGGAGAACGAGGCCGCTCTCCCAAGTCGGTCAGCAGGTAGGTGAGCCAGCGTAACTCCTGTGCAGCCATGGCTGTGGCGTAGATCTCAGCCTCACAACTGGAGCTGAGAACTGAAGACGAGCGCGTAGAACGCCAAGAAACCGAACCAGAGCCAAGACTGAAGGTGTAACCCTGTGACGACCGCTGCGTAGCCTGGTCGTCAACCCAAGAAGCGTCTGAGTGGCCAGTGAGGACAACGTCGCTCCGTCCTCCAAGCACGAGCCCCATGCCCGATGCACGAGCAGGTGCGGTGATGCGTTGTTCGGGAGCGATGATGACGAGAGCAGGTCGTGCAGCATGATAGCGTGGTCCATTGCTTCGGGCCATTGGTGGTTGGGTAGCCGCGTGCCACGTAGCAGCTTGCGCATGGTGTTCTGGAGAGTCCTGTTCATCCTTTCTACTACGCCTTGCTGTTGGTGGGCTTATGGAAGGGAGATGAGCCGCTTGATGCCTCTCTCTGCCAAGTACTGCTTGAACCTCTGTGAGGTGTATTCTCCCCCCCCGTCAGACTGGAAGCTCTTTAGCTTAACTCCTGATTCTCGTTCTGCTACTGGGAGCCAGGCAACAAAGGCTTCGAAGGCCATGTCGCGACTTGGAAGGTTGAGATGCCAGACAGCGCGAGTGGCGGCGACGATGAACGTGATGGTGTAGCTGTATGCTCCTTGTCCAGGTTTGCGATTGTACAGGATGTCGCTGTACACTTTCTCCAGAGGCGAGGCTGGTACCCCAATGGTCAGGCAGAGGAGGCATGTGGGCGTGGAGCCGAAGGGTTGAGCAGCCGAGGGCGGAGTAGAGTAGAAAGAGGTCGTCACGGTTGGATCTTATCATTCCTCTGCCATTCTATCGATTTTCAGTCAACAAACCTTCCAGCAATCGAAACGATCAGCCTCTCTCCAGCAATCTGCTATCAACAGTCTCCTGTGCAGCCATGGCTGTGGCGTAGATCTCAGCCTCACAACTGGAGCTGAGAACTGAAGACGAGCGCGTAGAACGCCAAGAAACCGAACCAGAGCCAAGACTGAAGGTGTAACCCTGTGACGACCGCTGCGTAGCCTGGTCGTCAACCCAAGAAGCGTCTGAGTGGCCAGTGAGGACAACGTCGCTCCGTCCTCCAAGCACGAGCCCCATGCCCGATGCTGGAGCAATGGGAGGCATGGCGGGAATGAGGGGCATGGGGGAAAGGGGCCTTGGAAGACAGACACACAGCCTCACACACGCACCCAGACTCCCACGGCACCTTCAGATTCAGTCATCTCCCTAACCGAGGAGGAGTGAACTTCAAACACATGCTTCCCCCTTCCGCCTTTCGCCTTCTCTCCCTCGTCCCCACTCCCTTCACGTCCCACTCTCCCCTGTGCTGCGCTCACTGCCCTCCCGTGTGCTGCGCTCACTGCTCTCCGTTCCGACCTGTGCAGCCAGCCATCATCTCCCCGCCTCGCCCCTCACGCCCACCCACCCACCACGAGCGGAGGCGCCTGAGTGGGTGCGGCCTTGCTGCCCTGTGCCTGCTGTCGGTGCAGCTGCAGCTGGCGCCAGCACCACGAGAACACCGGCAGGTAGTACTGGAAGATGCGCCGCAGCTGCGCCTCCTCCAGTTGCGCCCCCCCCTCCCCCTGCGCCCCCAGGAACCCCAGCTGGTGCGCCAGCTCGCCGCCCAGCGCGCCCCACGCGGCGGCGTCGCGCTGCACGTCCGCCTGCGTGAGCCCCACGCGTTGCAGCAGCGGACTGCGCGCCACGAACGCGGGGAGGTCTTTAAGGGGGATGACGTGTGGAGGCGCGGGGTGGGTGGGTGGGAGCGAGGGCAGGGAGGGCAGGGAAGGGGAGGGGACGGCGGAGGGGGAGGAGGCGGCAGCGTCTTTGAGGCTGCGGACGGCGTGGCGGCGGCGCGAGGCGGAGGGGCGGCGGGGGCAGCGCGAGAGGGGGGAGAGGGAGACGCGTTGGGGTGGGCCGGCGAGTGGGCGAGCATTGGGTTGATTCTGGCGAGGGGAGCAGGGAGGGCAGATGGAGGGCAGACAGGAGGGCAGATGGAGGGATTCGAGTCCTGCCACATTCAGATCGCCCGCTGCACGCGACTGACGATTCGCCCGGTGATTATCCCGCGCGCCTTACCGACATCACATGCATTCTACTTGAGCGCTTCCTCTGTGCCCGTTCCCACCCTCATTACGCGTCTGCTGTGTTCTTTCCGGGCCTTTAGAATGCCAGCACGCCCGCACCAACGGGAAGACCGCGGCCGCCGCGACGCGCGTGGTGTGTGCCACACGTACCGCGAGAGAACGCGAGGCGGAGCCGTTGGAGGTCGCCACGTGGCCCGACGACAGACATCTCGCGACGGTCGTCGGCAAAGAGCGTGGCGACGCAGTGTTCGACACAGCGTGCGATGCCGGGCTGCTGCGAGGCGTCTGCGACACAGCGAGCGACGAGGCGAGGGCCTCCATGCCTCGCGAGTTCCGCGCGCCGCCGCGTGCTAAGACAGCCCTCAATAGTCAGACGATCCGAAGCTCAGAAGCTTACTAGCGGAGCAAAGGACGAGGAGAAGCACGACGAGAAAACAAGCGGTAGTAAGTGCAAATGTGCCTCCGCGATGCCCCGTTGCCACCGCTGCTCGCTTGCTATCGCTTTGGAAGCTGGGCTGGTTGCAACCTGGCCTCGAAGCGCGCTCAGGAAGAAACTCGAGAATCGTTCGCGAGCGAGGATGAAGTGCGATCGGTTTCAGATCAGATCGAGGTGAATGCACGTGACGTGGCGTCGCCTACTGGGTCTCTCTCAAAGGCTGATAGGGTGCCACCTGGCATGGGATCACCCGGTCGTTTCATCTAAAGAGTGAAGTGAACATCTCGCCCAAAGAGGTCCCCGTTAGCGCAGGGAGGCGTCTCTTGCTCTCATGTTTGTTCTGAACATTAATTACTATACAAGCTTGGAACATAAACACATATACACCCTATTCTCGATAATTGCACACCCCCTACCCCCTATTTCGAAGGTACCCTGTACGTTTTCTGGCTCGATGTGACGGACACCCAAAGATTGACGAGGGTAGTTATCGAGCCTCGCACTTAATTTTCCGAGTGAGTAGTAGGGGTGCATGGCTGCCCTTGGAACTCTGGTTTCTTTTCTTCCATTCGCGAGCAGGTTGCGAGGTCCCTCCTCCGAAAGTCTACAATCGTTGCTTGCTACCCAACTTTAACGTTTAACCAAGAGTAATTACCCCAGAGTGTGCGCTTAAGGGGTGTGAAATTATCGAGAATAGGGTGTACTCTGTTTGGAAGGTATGTTTCTTTAGGGAACCTCGTCACCCAAATAGGTCCCCGCGCATGAGGTGTCCATTTCGTAGCGCTTATTTTCCTCCACCTTTGTAAACCTTGAACGAACAGTATAGAAGCAGCTCATCTTTTCGTGCCTCTTCACCACGGGTACTCATCACCAATTAGCACGAGCGCGAATCCCGGCGAGATCCCGATCACCGCGACGACGACTCGCCGACGCGGCGACGACTCACGTTGGATCCGCGCGCAGCTGCGCCTTTCTTTCTCCGCTCGCGCGTGCGGGTCGCAGCGATGGCGGATCCGGGCTCGTGCGAGGCGAGTTTGAAGGATCGCGGCAACGCGGAGTTTAAGGCGAAGAACTTTCTCAAGGCGGCGGCGCTGTACACGCAGGCCATCAAGGACGCGCCCGACAGCCACGCGCTCTACAGGTAACCGCGCCGCGCGCATTTCCTTTCTATTTCCGCGTTTTTGTTATTCTGTGTTGGCGCGGCGGCCGTGGCTGACTGCACGTGCGGCGCGCAGCAATCGGTCGGCGGCGTTCCTGCAGCTGTCGAAGCTCACCAAGGCGCTGGCGGACGCGGAGGCCGCCATCCGCCTCAACCCCGCGTGGGAGAAGGTGAGCACAGCGCCGCTCCAAGGGGTTCACGGGGTTTCGCGTCCGCTTCTGGCGCCGGGAATTGAGACTCACTCATGCACATCCTCTCGTGACTTGCGATGTGCGTGTGGCGTGGTGGTGTGGGGAGTGTGGCGTGTGTCTGGTGCGTCGCAGGGCTACTACCGCAAGGGCTGTGCGCTGGAGGCAATGAAGCGCTACGACGAGGTGAGCCGCCCTCGCCTGCCCTCGCCTGCCCTCGCCTGCCCTCGCCTGCCCCCACCTGCCCTCACTTGTTCAATTTCGAGTTTCTAAGTTGGGTGCCGCAGGGTTGACGAGTATGTGGTGGCATGCTGCCGTGCTGTGCTGCTGCCTTGCTGCGCGGTGGCAGGCATTGGAGGCGTTCAGGGAGGCGGCGGAGAGGAGCCCCGGCAGTGCGGAGACGGCGGGCAAGCTGCGCCTGCTCTCCAAGCTGGCCCGCGACCACAAGCGCTCGCACCCCTCCTCGTGACCCCCGCCCTCCGTGCCGCCATGGCACGCCCTGTGTAGGTAAGTCCAACGCAGGTGAGTCCAACGCAGGTGAGTCCAACGCAGGTGAGTCCAACGCAGGTGAGTCCAACGCAGGTGAGTCCAACGCAGGTGAGTCCAACGCAGGTGAGTCCAACGCAGGTGAGTCCATCGCAGGTGAGTCCAACGCAGGTGAGTCCAAGGTTGGCAAGTCACCTGCTGCAGAACCACCCTCCTTGTCTCGACCCCCCCCCTCACTCGTCCTGCCTTTCTCACCCTTCTCCTGCTCGCCGTCGTTCCGTCATTTTCCATTCCCCCCTACTTGTTCGTCCACTCCTTCCCCACCCTGTCCTCGTCTCACTCGCCCTCCCCTCCTCCCCTTGTCTCGCCCCCTATCGGCCTCGCCCCCTATTGGCCTCGCCCCCTATCGGCCTCGCCCCCTATCGGCCTCGCCCCTCGGTGCTCATCTCCGTGCCTCACTTTGCAACCCCCCGTTCCTCGCCTGCCTCGCTCATCATCTGCCCACGCTGTGCCGTGAACCACTCTTCGCCCCTCTAGAACCCCTCGCTTCTACCTTGCAGCGACCCTATTCGTGTGTGCATGTCAATGCGACCCTATTCATTTAATCAGCACTCATCGCATGCACCCCCCCTCCGCCGCTCAGCCCTTTATCCCTCACGACCCTGCACTCTCTCGCTCCCTCGCTTTGCTCCCACCCGTTCATTCCCATGCCTCTCTCATGATTCTCTCACCATGCCTCTGCCACCCCCTCCCTTCCCTCTCTCCCACTGACCTCACTTCCACCTTCATCAATCTCTTCTCTGTATGCGCCCTTCCCCTCTCCTTCACTTCCCCCTCATCCTCCACGCTCTCCTCTCTCATCTCACCAACCCCTGCCTCCCTTGTCGCCCGAATGGACCGTCTCTTCATGCACCCTTCTCTGCCCGTGACTCCTTGCCTTCTCCCCCCCTCCCCTCCTCCCCTCCTAGTGTAAAGGCCCGAAGATTACATCCTAACACAACTTCATAGCACGGGAAGGAGCGTCTTGAACGAGGTGGTGCTATGCAAGAGACTTCAAAGCGTCACACCTCCCCGCCCGCCCGCTCTGGCTTTGCCGGCCGGAGGCCACAGCGCACCCCATTCATGCATTCTAGCTCCCCACACCTCAAGGGTCAGAAGCATCTGAAACTCACCGACAGTTCGGTTCAGGACGTTATTGGAAAGACATGCTTCTGCAAGGGCTTCTGTGCATGCTGCTTAGCAGTACACGGGGGAACGGACGGACGCAGTTCAAGGACGGTGCACGATGCAAACATCACCGTCAGGCCTAATTGAGGCCCTGTCTTCCTGTAGTTTCCCAAGTGTATGTTTTTCAAGCGCGTAGGGGTTAGTGTTGAGAGCAGGCCCTATTTTATCAGGGTAAATCACCCTGATATCCTGATTATCAGGGTGGTTTTTGGGTGTAACACTGATGCTGTAGGGTATTTTTTTTGGGACCTTGATTTTCCCTGATGTGCCAGGGTTTACGAATAAGGCACACTGTCGCCTCAGTGCTGCCGATCCTCTTAGCGAGTTTTACCCTGAAGCGAGTACCAGCCACCCCCCGCCACCCCCCTTCCCCCCCTCCCCCCCCCCCCCCCCCCTTCCCCTAACCCCCCTACCCCGTAACCCGGGATTCCCTATTGCCAACTGTCGAAACTGTAAATTTGTTATTGTGTGCTCTGTTAATGACAATTTCAGCAGGGTTCGAGAACATTGTACACTGATGCCTCAGGGTTGAATATTCAAACTAAGCAGAAACCCTGATGAATCAGTTTTCCCACAAGGGGTCACACTGATAATCAGGGTTTTGAACATGTGCAACACTGATCGTAAGGGTTGGCAAAAACCAAAAATTAGCCCTGGTTGAGAGTTGAGCACTGCTATTATCGAGTATATTATAGATACTGTGTTACAACAGAAAGATGTATGCGCTGGAAGAGTACACCCTAATCTATTGGTATGCTTTGCATCTGTTGGGCTGAGGAAGGCCCTTAGGATCTTGTAGAGACTGCCTTGGCTGGCAGCGCCCAGCACTGCAGCAGCGCCGCTGTGTCACCCCGTGTCAAACTTCATGGGGTGAATCATTGAGCCGGGCCCGCTTGAGGTTGTAGGCTGTAGCCGCCACTGGCTCAAGGGAGGGATTAGGATGGGTGAATAGAAGAGGGGTACTATTCGATAAGGCGGCTGGACGAATAGATACCACGTGGAAAGGGGATGGGTGAATAGAGGGGAAATGGGTGAATAGAGGGGAAATGGGTGACTACAAGGAGGTTGTAGCCGCCACTGATAGGTGCGATGGAAGCAGGGCTAATTTTTGGTTTTTGCCAACCCTTACGATCAGTGTTGCACATGTTCAAAACCCTGATTATCAGTGTGACCCCTTGTGGGAAAACTGATTCATCAGGGTTTCTGCTTAGTTTGAATATTCAACCCTGAGGCATCAGTGTACAATGTTCTCGAACCCTGCTGAAATTGTCATTAACAGAGCACACAATAACAAATTTACAGTTTCGACAGTTAGCAATAGGGAATCCCGGGTTACGGGGTAGGGGGGTTAGGGGAAGGGGGGGGGGGGGGCGGGAGGGGGGGAAGGGGGGTGGCGGGGGGTGGCTGGTACTCGCTTCAGGGTAAAACTCGCTAAGAGGATCGGCAACACCGAGGCGACAGTGTGCCTTATTCGTAAACCCTGGCACATCAGGGAAAATCAAGGTCCCAAAAAAAATACCCTACGGCATCAGTGTTACACCCAAAAACCACCCTGATAATCAGGGTATCAGGGTGATTTACCCTGATAAAATAGGGCCTGGATGGAAGGTGACACGAAGGGAAGGGGGGAAGGGCGGGGAAGAATGAAGGGACTGGAATGAGCGGGGAGGGGGGATGAGGAGCCACGAGGAGCCATGCGAAGGCAGGCGAACACCCATGCATACCTGTGGAAGGTGTGCCCCTTGCCAATCAGCGCCAGCTTCTTCAGCGCCTTCTCCTCCTCCACTTCCCCAGCACGAGCAGTTCCAGCAGCAGGCGGCGTGTAGGTGACGTGGATGAACTTGGGCGGGCTGTCTGCCGCAGACTGGGCCCCCAGAGGGGTCAGCCAGACGCGCCTGAGTCAAGTGTGAAGGTGTGCAAGTCCTCAGCAGAAGCAATACCTGCGGCAGCAGACTCACAAGCACCTAGAGCAGCAGCCTTTGCACCAGTAGCGCGCGGCACACGAGTAACAGTCACCCTCAACACTAACAGAACCAGCATACATAGCATAGATTCCAGCATTGATCTTGTCAAAGTCAAGAGCAAACACATCCACCCCCTTCCCTAGCAACGCTAACCAGTTGAGGATATCCTGCTCATCTCCGTACTCGGTGCGCCAGGCATCCTCGAGACGGCAGAAGCAACGATACTCAGTGTGTCCAGTCTTCCCACAGGGCTCACCAGTCTTGGGACCCGAGCGCCTGATGTACGGGCAACAAACATTAGCCCCAGTGGAGCCATGCTGGACCACCCACTCACGAAGCTCCTGAGGGGTGCGTGGCTCCTGCTGGCGTGGCTGTTGCTGCTGTCCACCCCCAGTGCCTCCGCCGCCACGAGCTACACCACCAGACGCCGCCCCATAGCCTCCGCCCCTGCCAGCTCCACCCCGACCGCCAGCCGAGCCCCCTCCGCCCACTCCACCGCCTCCACCACCCCGGCCACCTCCACTGCCGCCACCACCGCCTCCACCCCCGCCACCACCACCGCCACCACCCCCGCCACCACCACCGCCTGCCAACGCCGCTCACCTTCGATCTTCACTTCCATTGGTTCACGTCGAAGTGTTTGTCGCAGGGACATCCCAACCTCTCTATACCCGGTAACCCGAAAGACAAGGAATTCAAGTTTTAAAATCTTGAGGCGCGCGGCTTTCAAGCTTGTGCTGTTGGGGGGATTCACTAACATTCACGAAATTGCGAAGCTTTTGTACACCCCACATATCGATCGCTCACAGGATCGATGTGTGAAATGTGACACGTCCTCACCACATCCCTCCGGGAATTACACAAGCGCTTGAGTACGATGTTTTGCAATCTGGAGCGCTTTTCTCATTCCACCACTTTAAACCACTCTGTTCACCACGCACAAATTAACTTTGTGACCCCCGCGTGTCTTCCATTGCTTTTCGAGCATGGAAACACGTTTCCCCAATCACAAGGCATTTCTTAGTTGTGATAAGAGCTGATTCACGGGAGAGGCGGTCTAGTCGAGAGCTAATCTAGCTACATAGGTCAATTCTTCCGATTTGCACCTCGATGAGATGGGATCTTACAATAATTGTTTTTAGTGACTGAAACCTTAAATTACGGAGTGTACTTTTGTCAGAATCTAGTAGCAGGAATGATTGAACTATGAAAGAGTTGGGTACAAGTATGAAACCCTAAAAGGGGCTGTACCCCATATTGGCTACCCCACTACAGCCTACACATATATAACAAGAATATGCTTTGACACACCCCCATAGGCAAAGTGGGGGAGAGCAAGGGGTCACAAGACCAGTCAAGAGAAGCAAAGCAAGCTCAGGGTGGATCACAACGTCACCACACACACTGAGCACAAGCAAAGGGCCACAAGGCCAGTTCACATGCAGGGGTATCTATGCAACAACAACAGCACAGTGATCTCTACCTAGCAGAGCAAGCATGCAGGTATATATAGATCACAGTACAAGCAAAGTCTACAGCAAGTGAGGAAACGTGGGCACAAGGCCTAACAGTGTGCAGAAACGCTGATGATCACCAGACGGAAGCGCCTTGGTAAATATATCAGCAGTGTTGGCCCGAGTGGCCACGTATGAAAGACGAAGCTGACCACGCTGCTGCAACTCTCGAGCCAGGAAGTAACACAGAGCAATGTGCTTCGTTCTGTGCTCCAGTCTGTGCTCTTGACACAAGGCAATGGCGGCCTTGTTGTCGACGTACAGCACTGGAGGAGAACGAGGCCGCTCTCCCAAGTCGGTCAGCAGGTAGGTGAGCCAGCGTAACTCCTGTGCAGCCATGGCTGTGGCGTAGATCTCAGCCTCACAACTGGAGCTGAGAACTGAAGACGAGCGCGTAGAACGCCAAGAAACCGAACCAGAGCCAAGACTGAAGGTGTAACCCTGTGACGACCGCTGCGTAGCCTGGTCGTCAACCCAAGAAGCGTCTGAGTGGCCAGTGAGGACAACGTCGCTCCGTCCTCCAAGCACGAGCCCCATGCCCGATGTACTGCACAAGTAGCGTAGTACCCTCTTAGCAGCATCCATGTGCACCTTTCGGTGCCGACCAGGAGCCACGTAGCGAGCCAGAAGGCCAAGAGGGTACGCAAGGTCAGGACGAGTGCAGGTCATCAGGTACATGAGGCAGCCCACTAGCTCTGGGTAAGGACCACTCGGCTCTACGGACTCGTCCGAAGGTGGAGCTGAGAGCGAGTGACCTGTAGCCAGAGGAGTGTGCTGTGCCGAAGACCAGGTGAAGCCGAAGCGCTGAAGGACCTGTTGCACCATGTGTGACTGAGCCAGTGTGATGGTGCGGCGTGCTCTGTCCCGGGTGTTCCGCAAGCCAAGATAGCTTGTCAGCTCACCCAGGTCTGTGCACGTGTGTCTCTTCTGCAGCTCCGACTTCACCAGGGCGAGAGCCTCAGTGTCAGCAGTGGCAAAGACCAAGTCGTCGACGTACACGAGGATGTAGAACGGCGGCAGCGAAGTGTCGGTGCGCAGAAACAGCGACGGGTCAGCAGTCGATGGAGCAAACCCAAGAGCCGCAAGTGTCGTCCTCAGTGTGTCGTGCCACTCACGTGGCGCCTGGCGGAGACCGTAGACCGGCCGCCTGAGGCTCCACTGGGTACCAGGAGGGAACGACCCAGTGAAGCCAGGTGGGCGGCGCAGCCAGATCTCCTCGTGCAGGCTGCCCTGTAAGAAGGCTGTGCTGAAGTCAAGAGAGTGAAGCT